GATATGGTAAGTCTATATTCAAATTTCTGAGGTATCTCCATACTGTCTGCCACAGTTGCTATACCAGTTTATATTCCCACCAATAGAGGATTAAGGAACCTTTCTCCCCACATTCTCACCAGCATATGCTGTTTGTTCACTTCTTTATGAAAGCCATTCTAACGGGGTAAGGTGAAGCCTTATTGTGGTTTTGATTTGCATTTCCCTGATGGATAGTGATCCTGAACATTTTTTCATGTATCTGTCAGCCATTTGGATTTTCTCATTTTAAAAGTACCTGTTTAAGTGCTTTGCCCATTTTTTTTTTTTTTTTTTTTTTTGATAAGCAGAGTTACTGAGAGAGAGAGACAGAGAAAAAGGTCTTCCTTTTGTTGGTTCACCCCACAAATGGCAGCTACGGCTGCTGCGCTGTGGCAGGCGCACTGCGCTGAACTGAAGCCAGGAGCCAGGTGCTTCTTCCTGGTCTCCCATGCGGGTGCAGGGCCCAAGCACTTGGGTCATCCTCCACTGCCTCCCCACGCCACAGCAGAGAGCTGGACTGGAAGAAGAGCAACTGGGACAGAATCCGATGCTCCAACCTGGACTAGAACCCAGGGTGCCTGCGCCACAGGTGGAGGAATAGCCAAGTGAGACGCGGTGCAAGCCTCCCATTTCTTAACTGGATTCTTTATTGTGTTGTTGAGTATTTTGAGCTCTTCCTGGATTCTGGATATTAATCCTTTACCAGTTTCATATTAAGAAATTTACAAATATTTACAACTATTTTTTCCCATTCTGTCAGTTGCCTCTTCACTTGGCTGAGGTGTTTCCTTTGCAGTGCAGAGCTTCTCAACTCAAGTTCTGCATAGAATGTCCTTTGCAATGAATCTGTAAATCGCTTTTGGTAGTATGTACATTTTGATAATATTGGTTCTTCCAATTCATGAACATGGGAATTTTTCCATTTTAATGTCTTCTATTTCTTTCTTTAATGTTATGTAATTTCATTATAGAGATCGCTGATGTTCTTGATTAAGTTTATTTCAAGGATTTTAAGTTTTTGGTAGCTATTGTGAGAGGGATTTATCTCAGAAGATCTTTCCCAACTATGGCATTGCCTTTGTATACAAGGGCTATTGATTTTTGTGTGTTAATTTTATATCCTGCCACCTTACCAAAGTCTTTTAGAGTTACAATAGTGTTGGTAGAGTCTTTTGGATTCCCTATGTATAGAATCACATCATTTACAAATAGGGATAGCTTGACTTCCTCCTTCCCAATTTGTGTACCTTTGATTTCTTTTTCTTATCTTATGGTTGTGGATAAAACTTTCAGGACTATATTGAATAGTAATAAATAAGAGTGGGCATCCTTGTCTGATTCTGGTCAAGGTGGAAATGCTTCAAACTTTTCCCAATTCAATAGGACACTGGCCATTGGTTTTTCATAAGTTTCTTGATTATACTGAGAAATGTCCCTTCTATACCCAATTTGCTTAAGGTTTTCATCATGAAACAATGTTTTATTTTATCAAGTGCTTTCTCTGCATCTATTGAAATAATCGTATGGTTTTGTTCTTCAGTTTGTTACTGTGATGTATCACATAGATTGATTTATAAATTAGAACCATCCCTGCATACCAGGGATAAATCCCAGTTGCCCTGGTAAATGATTTTTCTGATGTGTTGTTTGATTCAACTGATGCCTTAGTTCTATCATTTGTAAAACAAGATAATGACATCAATACTCTATAGCATTGTAAGAATTACATGAAATGATATATAAAACACTTAGAATAGTTTATGTACATAGCAAATACTCAATACATTTTAAATGTTTTCAATATTGCCATTAAGTTCTGCATACATGAGTTCAAACAATCACAACTTAAAAATATTTGGAATAAAACTGCGTCTGTACTGAGCATGTGCAGACATTTTTTTTCTTCTCCTTATTCTCTGTGTAATCCATTACCACAACCATTTACATGGTATTTACATTGTATTAGGTATTATAATAATATAGAGATGATTTAAATATACAGGAACATGTGCCTAGGTTATACGTAAATTTTATATAAGGACTTGCCCGTCTTCAGATCGTGGTATTCAGGGAGGTAGTAGAACCAATTCCTTGCAGATAGCAACAGCATTGTGTTCTTACTTAATCTTAAAATTTCTCATTCTGTATGTTTGTGATTATGATTTGTACAACAAATTAGCCTGAGTACTGCTCAAAAATGTATGGGCTCACCTCTACAAAATTCCCTAGCCTACCTATAGTTTTTTTTTAACTTTAACTCTTTCCAAGACCTACCTTGTGACTGGCATTGTGGCACAGCAGGCTAAGGTGCCTCCTGCAATGCTGGCACCCCATGTGGGCACTAGTTCTAGTCTCATTTATTCTATTTCCAATGCAGATTCCTGCTAAGATGCCTGGGAAAGCAGTCAGAAGATGGGTTATATGGGAAAGCATTCAAAAGGTGGCCCAAGGTCTTTGGCCCCTGCCACCCATGTGGGAAATCCAGAAGCAGCTCCTGTCTTTGGCCTGACCCATTCTTGGCTACTGTGGTCGTTTGGGCAGTGAAACAGCAGATGGAAGATCTCTCTCTTTCTCTGTAACTCTGCCTTTCAATAAATAAATAAATTAATTAAAAAAACCCCTCAATTCTTTGAAAAAGAAAGAAAAAGAAAAAAGACCTAGCAATTCTTTGTAGCCAATGATCTTTAATCTTACCTAGAAATTGAATCCACTTGGAAGCATATTTCAGAATAGTCATGAATCTGCTTGCCTCTATCTCTGGGAAAGTGGTATTTATGCTTTCTTAAACTAATTGAGTCTCAACTTCAACTGTTGTTCTCGCTTTTCATTATCTTTAAAATAGCTCAGTCCACTGCAAAATTCCTCTAACCTCAAAACTTGACCAGCTCTTAGTAATATTAAAATAAATTAGCAATCTCTCTTTGTACCTGCTTTTTTATGTTACCATCAAACTTCTTTTAATCCTCTTGAGAACAGTCTTTAGCCTCCACTCTTCTTATTTCACATTTCACATTTCACTAACTTCTTAAAATCAGTTTTCCCACCTAACTTACAAAATCGACTACTGAAAAGTAAGCATCAATTAGATTGCCAAACCAGAAAAAAAAGTCTCTCATCAAAATTTTTCTTGCAACTCTTTTGCAGCACTGAACATACTAACCATCTACTTGACACTTTCCCTTTTCATTAGCTTTGGTACAATTACCCAATATTCTTTCCAAAAGGCAATGTGAAGTCACAGGAAGCAAATGTGACAGTAGTCAAAAGCTTATGTTTGAGTGTAAGTCTCATTAATTACTGATCTTAAATAAGACACAGTTTCAACGGACTTAGTCATAAAATTAGGACAATTTGTCTGCCTTATTTACTAACTTGTAATAAAATTAATTAAAATAATGGGTCTGAAAATGCCATAAAAGTTATAAACTATATACAAAGTAGCTAAGTTTAGATAACCTGGAAAAACATAGGATGCAGACTTGATCAGCCCTCACCCTGACTGTTGATGAGCAGCTTAATATGTTATCCCTCTTAGTATTTTTTTTTTGTTTGTTCTACTTAATACTTTTGGTTGAATACTGTAATCAATACACAAGTCTTCTTAAGTGCTGAAACTTAACTGAAAAGTGATCCCTGTTAAATATAAGAGGGGGAATAAGAGAGGGAAGAGATGTGCAATTCGGGACATGCTCAAGCTGACTTACCTCAAACGGTAGAGTTAGAAACATACCAGGGGATTCGAATTCAATCCCATCGAGGTGGCATGTACCAATGCCATCTCACTAGTCCCAGTGATCAATTTCTGTTCACAATTGATCATAATGATAGGACTAAGAACCAAAGGGATCACATAAACAAGAATAGTGTCTGCAAATACTAGCTGATAGAATCAAAAAGGGAGAGAATGATCCAACATGGGAAGCAGGATACACAGCAGACCCATAGAATGGCAGATGTCCTAAACAGCACTCTGGCCTCAGAATCAGCCCTTAAGGCATGCGGATCCGGTTGAAATGCCCATGAGAGTATTTCAGGCATGGAAAGCCAAGACACTCTGGGGGAAAAAAACCTAAATGAAAGATCTCCGCGAGTGAGATCCCAGTGGAAAGAACGGGTCATCAAAGAAGGAGGTACCTTTCTCTGAAGGGAGGAGAGAACTTCCACTTTGACTATACCTTGTCTGAATAAGATCAAAGTCGGCGAACTCAAAAGGCTTCCATAGCCTTGGCAACTCATGACAAGAGCCTCGGGTGATTACTGATGCCATAAACAAGAGTGTCAATTTGTTAAGTCAACAACAGGAGTCACTGCGCACTTACTCCTCATGTAGGATCTTTGTCCTTAGTGTGCTGTACATTGAGATCTAATGCTATAACTAGTACTCAAACAGTATTTTTCACTTTATGTTTCTGTGTGGGAGCAAACTGTTGAAATCTTTACTTAATGTATGCTAAACTGATTTCTGTATATAAAGAGAATCGAAAATGAATCTTGATATGAATGGAAGGGGAGAGGGAGTGGATAAGGGGAGGGTTGCGGGTTGGAGTGACATTATGGGGGGGAAGCCATTGTAATCAATATTCTGTACTTTGGAAATTTATATTCATTAAATAAAAGTTAAAAAAATAAAAAAATAAATAAATCAAAAAAAAGAAAAATATACAAAAGGATTCTTGTTTCCAAAGTGTCTATGAAGTCCTTAAGGACCTAAAGCTTCGTATCTAACCTACAAGGGTTTTCACTACTTAAAGGTTTTAAAGTGTCTTCATCAAGGAAGTAATATCCATGTGATGGCTCTTATCAAGAAGTGAAGCCTTTATGACAAAAACCTGACTTACTTGGACTCACTTCCAAATACCAAAAGGTTACTGAGCATTTTCATTTTGAAAATATACCAGAAAATCAAAATATTAATGACACATCTTTACATATATAAACATGCAAATCTAATTGGTTTGATAATAGATAAGAAATATTACCAGTTCTTGGGGAAGGTGCCCTTGCAATTTCTAAGGAACATGGTTTCTTTGTAACAGCTGTGTCCATGAGATCACATAGAAAGTTCTCATTTTCTGAAGGAAATGTATCCAGAGAGGCAGATGGTACAATTTCCATAGCATAATTTCTCTTCTTTGGATAGGACTCCTGAAAAGGAGAAGAAATTTAAAAAGCACTGAATAAAGACACATTTACTTAATTTATAAAAGCTAGAAAACATAAATCAGGTTCATCAGTTCTTCCTAAAGTTATTGAGAATTGGTGAATCATACAGTTGAATTAGTTACATAATCATGCAATCCCAATATCACTAGTGATATTTTTAGAAGGATTCTTAAAATTTGGTTTTCTGAATTTGTTACTGAACTAATAAATTTTATCTTCCTTTTGTAATATATGCCTATTTTCTAGTTATGACATGAATTGTCATTTAGTTCATCAATACACATTACTAACACACTATTCCTCTGCCTGTCTCCTAGAGATAATCATATGACTCAACTTTGGCCAGCTAGAAAAAAGATGTTGCTAGAAGGCTTTGAGTAAAATAGTTTTCTCCAGAGAACAAACTGCTAAGAAAGCTCTTTAAGAACCAAAGCATTCCCAGAATCCTCTTTGGAGGCAGTTTTGCTATCTGAAACTGGGGTAGGCATTTTGTGACCATAAGATAATACGTCAAGGATTCAAAATGTTAAGAAACCAAGAATGGCAAAAGAAATATAAAAAAGCCTCAGAGGGGCTGGTGCTGTGGCTCAGTGGGTAAAGCCACTACCTGCAGTGCTGGCATCCCATATGGGCACTAGTTCGAGTCCAGCTTGCTCCATTTCTGATCCAGCTCCCTGCTAATGTATCTGGGAAAGTGACAGAAGATGACCCAAGTGCTTGGGTCCCTGCAGCCATGTGGGAGACCCAGATGAAGTCCCTGCTTCTAGACTTCACAGCCTGGCCCAGCTCTGATCATTGTGGCCATTTGGAGAGTGAACCAGCAGACAGAGGAGCTTCCTCTCACTCTCTAACTCTGCCTTTCAAATAAACAAATAAATCTTAAATAAACAAATAAATAAATAAAGTCTTACTTTCAGGAAAAAAGGCTTAGAATTTGAAGATATAATTGATTTGCTCAAATAAACCCAATTTCTCTCAGCCTCTTATGTAAAGAGCAATGTTCTTAGAGTTTGAACCGCTGCTAATTGAGATTTCTCTCACTAAGAGTTAAAAGTATCCAACAGACTAATGTTTTACTTTTTGAATATTTTTCTAATATACCAGGGTTACCCTTCTCAGATTAGGATAAAATTTAGGTACAGTTCTATTATATCTAATGTATTCAGTACATTTTAAAAACTGAAATGTTTCATTTTCAAGATCTTAATATCATGTATATATGGCATTAATTGAATACCAAATATTTATTAGGATATGCTGTTTTTTTCATAAATTTATAAGATTGTCCAAAAAGCCCATGGAGGGGCCAATGTTGTGGTGTGGAAGGTTAAGCTGCTGCCTGCAACAGTGGTATTCCATATGAGTACCAATTTGAGTCCTGGTTGCTCCACTCCTGATCAAACTCCCTGCTAATGTGCCTGGGAAATCAGCAGAGGATGGTCTAAGTGCTTGGGCTCCTGTCACCCACATAGGAGACCCGGATGAAGCTCCTGGCTTAGGCTTGACCCAGCCCTGGCTGTTGTAGACATTTGGGGAGTAAACCAGTGAATGGAAGATCTCTCTCTTTCCCTTTCTAATTCTGCCTTTCAAGTAAATAAATAAATCTTAAAAACAAAAAGTCCAAGGAAAATGAGTACTATGAAGAAACTACACATAGATTTTAAAATTCATATAAAATTTTGTTGCAGAGGACCAGATTTCGTTGTTTTTGACTGCTGTATAGTATTCTATAGAGTACATGCCCCATAATTTCTTTATCCAATCTACTGTTGATGGGCATTTAGGTTGGTTCCAGGTCTTAGCTATTGTGAATTGAGCTGCAATAAACATTAAGGTGCAGACAGCTTGTTTGTCTGCCAATTTCATTTCCTTTGGGTAAATTCCAAGGAGTGGGATGGCTGGGTTGAATGGTAGGGTTATATTCAGGTTTCTGAGGAATCTCCAGACTGACTTCCATAGTGGCTTAACCAGTTTGCATTTCCACCAACAGTGGGTTAGTGTCCCTTTTCCCCCACATCCTCACCATCATCTGTTGTTGGTAGATTTCTGTATGTGAGCCATTCTGACCAGGGTGAGGTGAAACCTCATTGTGGTTTTGATTTGCATTTCCCTGATTGCTAGTGATCCTGAACATTTTCTCATGTGTCTGTTGGCCATTTGGATTTCCTCTTTTGAAAAATGTTTTGATCAGCCCTTGTCCTGACTGTTGATGTACAACATAATACTTTATCCCTTTTAGTATTTTTTTTGTCCTACTTAATACTATTGGTTGAACTTTGTAATTAACACACAATTATTCTCAGGTGTTTAAATTTAACTGAAAAGTGATCTCTGTTAAATATAAGAGTGGGGATAAGAGAGGGAGGAAATGTACAATTTGGGACATGTTCAAGCTGACTTTCCCCAAATGGTAGAGTTAGAAATGTGCCAGGGGATTCCAATTCAATCCCATCAAGGTGGCATGTGCCAATGCCTTCTCACTAGTCCAAATGATCAACTTCAGTTCACAATTGATCATAATGATAAGTCTAAGAGTCAAAGGGATCACATAAACAAGACTAGTGTCTGCTAATACTAACTGATAGAATCCAAAAGGGCGAGGACGATCCAACATGGGAAACAGGATACACAGCAGACTCATAGAATGGCAGATGTCCTAAACAGCACTCTGGCCTCAGAATCAGCTCTTAAGGCATTCGGATATGGCTGAAGAGCCCATTAGAGTATTTTAGGCATGGAAAGCCAAGACACTCTAGCAAAAAAGGACCTAAATGAAAGATCTCCGCAAGTGAGATCCCAGTAGAAAGAACAGGCCATCAGAGAAGGAGGTACCTTTCTCTGAAGGGAGGAGTGAACCTCCACTTTGACTATACCTTGTCTGAATAAGGTCAAAGTCGGCGAACTCAAAAGGCTTCCATAGCCTTGGCAACTCATGACTAGAGCCTAGGGAGATTACTGACACCATAAAGAAGAGTGTCAAATTGTTAAGTCAACAACAGGAGTCACTGTGTACTTACTCCTCATGTAGGATCTCTGTCCTTAATGTGTTGCTCAATGTGAATTAATGCTATAACTAGTACTCCAACAGACTCCAACAGTATTTTACACTTTATGTTCTGTGTGGGTACAAACTATTGAAGTCTTTACTTAATATATACTAAATTGTTCTTCTGTATATAAAGAGAATTGAAAATGAATCTTGATGTGAATGGAAGGGGAGAGGAGTGGGAAAGGGGAGGGTTGTGGGTGAGAGGGAAGTTATGGGGGGGAAAAAGCTATTGTAATCCATAAGCTGTACTTTGGAAATTTATATTTGCTAAATAAAAGTTCAAAAAAAAAAAAAAAGACAGGGGGACAGAGCAAAAGACAGAGAGAGATTGTCTATCTGCTGGTTCACTACACAAATTCCTGAAACAGCCAGAGCTGGGCCAGGCAAAGCCAGGAACCAGACACTCAATCTGGGTCTCCCACCTGGGCAGGCAGTGGGGACCCAAGCATTTTAGCCATCACTTGGTGTCTCCTGAGGCGCATGTTACCAGGAAGCTATAATTAGGAGGGGAGCCAGGACTTGAATCAGGCACTCCAATGTGGGAAGCAGTGTGCTGGGTGGTATCCTAACTGTTTTGCCGTATCTGCTACATCAAATGCCAGCCACCCTTCATGAACTTTTTGAAGTACCTCATGTGGTTGTGCGTGTGTGTGTGTGTGTGTGTGTGTAAGAGAGGGAGACACAAACTGTGATAAATGTTATAGATTCTAACAAGAGGGTAAGACATAATCTTGTTTTCAGGAAGTTCTTAGTTTACTGAAGAAGAAAGATAATCTGCATGTTGATTTCACAATTATTCATGTAGTACTTTTACTTTATAAAGTATCATATGGAGAAAAACAGAAGTAGAAGATAAACTTTTTAAATGTTTTAAGATATATTCAACGGTTCATAAAGATTTAGTATGAGCTCCTATTTTTCCTGTAATGCTATTTACAGTACGGTAGGATTCAAGGTCACTGTAATTGCTTGCAGACCACACCAGACCCTCAAACATCAAACAGTCAATTATGTTCACACTGTTTTGTTGAAAGCAGGAAATTGGGAGTAATTTTTTTTAACAACAAAGGGTGACAAAGTAGAAAGCATCCAAAGGAAAGCAATCAAGATGGTCTATGGTTTAAAAACCATGTCAGAGAAGAAATGATGAAAGGAATCGCAGTGCTCTGCCCAGAGCAGCCTGACAGTAACAGAACGGTTTTCTCCACATATTTGAGAGCCCTTCCCTCAAGAGTATGACATAAAGAGGGGGAAAGGAGAAATTGCTGTGGCAGGTTTACTCTAAAGCTCTTAAAGGCAGAACAAAGACTAATGTTCCTAAGTCAAGGAGAGCAAATTCCGGTCAATAAAAGAGTAATTTTCTATGAGTTAATTCTGCTTTATCTTTTAAGATAAAACCACATTAATAAAATAATTAGCTAACAAAAAGCCCTAGAATGGAACAGAAGGCATTCCACATTACTGGAAATCTTCCCACAAAATTATCCACTGATAAAATAATGGATGCCACACATTACACAGCAGATACGCCAGATGACTGTAAGCTCCAAGAAAGATGGAATTTGCTTTGTATATCACCCACTCCCCAATTCTATCCTGCCACACAGGTGGTTAATAAATGTTTTTATTTATTTATTTATTTATTTATTTATTTATTTGACAGATAGAGTTAGACAGTGAGAGAGAAAGGTCTTCCTTCCGTTGGTTCACCCCCCAAATGGCCGCTACGGTTGGAGCTGCACCGATCCGAAGCCAGGAGCCAGGTGCTTCCTCCTGGTCTCCCATGCAGGTGCAGGGCCCAAGCACTTGGGCCATCCTCCACTGTCTTCCCCGGCCACAGCAGAGAGCTGGACTGGAAGAGGAGCAACCGGGACTAGAACCCAGTGCCCATATGGGATGCCAGTACCCCAGGCGGAGGATTAACCAAGTGAGC